GTGCTACAATATTACATAATACTACTAATGTAATTGTTTAAAATATAAATTAACTAATATAACCTTTCTGAAAATATTTGTATGGAAGTTAATAAAACATTTAAAATGAAGAACAAACGTGAACATACAATATTATTTTTATTATGAGCTTTCGTGGAAAAAAATACAAATTTTAAATATGAGAATACCCGTTGCAGACACCACTCCGAGCTACTTGTTCAGTATTCCAGTATAATTTGAGGAACGTAGTTTGGTCAAACCCAGTGTCACTTAAATGAATTAGTCTCCGTCTACTTCCTCTACGTTCGCTGGACGTGCATGCACGTGAAGTTTTCTCACGTGTTCCACGTTCATATATATTGAAAAGAAGGATGAACGCCCGAGTGACTTGGAACCCACAAGATGACCTTATAGGGACAGATCCGACTTTTAAAATCAAATTCATTCCAACGTTCTCCCGGCGACTGACTCATCTGATTTCCATAGTAATCAGTTCCAGTGTTACTCCTTTTCCTTCAAAACCTCGAACGTGGCAACTCCTAATAATTAATTCTCATCCCAGTACTAAATTTAGATCCAGAAGATCTTGCATATGTTCACAGTACTTTTTACTTTCTCGTAATATGTAATGTAAAGGAAATATTGTAATGCTATAGGAAAAAGTACATTTTTTGACTGAATACTGATACATGTAGAGAGCCCTTGATATAGAAAATGGGACTTTTGTAGATTCGTTGCTCTTATACGTAGTGTATTTGTGTACGCAGATCAGCCGAAATAAACATAATTTTCATAAATATAGATCAATATTTTTCAAGTTTATTCTCGAAGGGTCCGATTTTCGGTGAAAATTCTTACGTTTTGAAAATTAGAAATGTTAAAAGGTTTTTCAACGCTTTCCTACAAACAACCTTAGTGAAGTTAGAGATGTTTTCTTTACGAAATCTATTATTCAAAATGATTTCTTTGAATCATTTCAGAGCATTTTTTAAAAACTAGTTGCGCTACAATATTACAAACTTTCTCACTTTATTCGCAACGGCTACGCAATATCATAATACTACTTGAACCTGCAAACGCATTTCTACCCAGCAATCTTTTCCCGCGTTGAGATTCAAAACCAGATTTCTATATTTAGTTGGCTATTAGTTCATGTTTCCCCTACATCACCAACCTCACAACCAAACGCAATTTTCCCGACGTTTCAAAAGCGAAGTTGAGCTTTTGCTTTGCAATTTTCAAACTAGTGGTGCTTCAACAGGACTTCATCGCATTATTTGTAATGGCTACGCAATATTATAGTACTAGATGAACCCGCAAAAGAGTTTCCAACCAGTTAGTTTTTCACGCTGGAATCTTAAAATAATATGAATGAAAATTCCTGAATTTTTGAAAATTACAACTGAAAATGTTCAATTTCGTTTCAAAAGCGTGGAAAAGTTTGTGTTTATCTAATCCTCATGGTGTATGAGTAAGTGCTAAACCTAAGAACCTGCGTTGGAATCTCAGCGTGGAAAAAATTGCTTGACGGAAACACGTTCTTATGTTCCAGTACTATTATAATATTGCGTAGCCGTCTCAAAAAAAACGAAAAAGTATGTACTCTTGTAGCACCACTACTTTAAAATACTCTTCTTTTCCTTGAAGAAATTTATTCCACGGAGCCCTCAATTTCTCATTTCGCTCTGCCTTCGGGGTGTAAACAGATCTCCATCAGAGCGTAGGTGTTGCGCAGTGCTCTTGGGCGCGCGAGGCGCAGATGTTCATGCTTTGCGTGTACGCGCATGCCCTTGGAGTACATCTGACGAGTTGCGACCCCACTCTCCTTTTTGTGATGGTGCTCTTCGAGTCGTCACCCTCCGCCTACGGCCGTTCCTCCCCGCCACGTCGGCTCTCACTGCTTCGTCTCTCCGCCAGGCCTCTTTCCGCCATTCCGACCGCTTTTTAAATAAACATGTATATGTGAAAGCATGTGCATAATTCAGTATTCGTAGCATATCACGTTTTACTGAGTTAATATTAAACTTAAATTCTTATTCTGTAATTATAACTGACAACTCATCGGAACTTACCAAGCACTTGCAGAATTAATAAATGATTGAGATTTTGAAGAGTAATGAGTAGAATGGGTATTTTTATTCTAGCGGGAAGGTGGTGTCTAAGTTGTAATGTATACATTGGGTTATCGAGTTCGTATGCATAGTTCTACACAACATAGAATTTATTTTACCCGCGTACGTCAAATGTATGAATGAGGGACAACCAGAACGGTGTTAATGACATTTTATAAATTCTGAGAAAATCCTATTTTCTTTTGCCTACATTTTAGTGGCAATGTATTTTCGTGGTTTTAATGAACAGTTGAAATGTCGTGATTTTAATTGTGAAACAAAGCACCAGGTGTTTACAGTACTATTGACTTAAATAAACAGATTTTTCCGAATTCATAAGATGTCACTTATACCATTCTGGTTTTCCCCCATTCATATATATTTCACGTATGAGGGTAAATTAAATTCTTTGTTGTGTTGGAGGATGCATATTAACCATGGTGCAAGGAAGGCCAATGTGAGAAAATGGTTTATAGAAGATCCCCTATAATATACAGGCTGCTAGCTGCACCATCGCGCCGTCGCACTTCGGTAGACTGCGTTCCTGGTCCCACTGCAGGGAACTCCACGGGCCATTGTCACCATCTCGCTTTGCTCTCCCCTTCTGCACCTCCCAACTCCCACACGTCCAGCCTCTGCTATGAGTATTACCTTTGGGCCCTCTGCCTGGATCAAGTGAGGTGGTCGATTGCTCTGAGCGGGCCGCGGGTCGCGTGCGAGTCTTCTTTCTCCACCCTGCCCTGCCAGGGCCCTGGCCCCGTCACGGCCCTTAGAGCCGAGCGACGGGCTGATCCCTCATTCTGGAATCGATTACATTGATTGAGATCTCCCGTCAATCGCCGAAGATATACGCGTACTTGCGAGGACTCCACGCGAAAAAAGTATCATTATCAGTATCACTTCCGTAACTGTCTTCTTCACATCCTACGTAATCGTCATCTTACGCAATAGCCCCCCATTTGTACTTTTCTTGGCACCTCACGACCTCCTCTACAAACACCTTCGCAACGACGCCATTGCCTGGGCCCTAACGTCCCCTTCCGCTTCCTTCTTCGCATTCGTCACCGCCCGAGCCTCCGTCCGCCTCCGTCTCTGTCGTCCGCCGCCCAGGCGACCCGCACGTGCGGCCTCGCCTGGAAATGGCTTCCGTGTGTGAGGAAGCGTCCTGTGATGCAAATGTGGCACGGCTGCGCGTCGCCGGCCCCTGCCTCTTTAGTGCTCTGTTACGAAAAGGGCAACGGCGCGGCGCCGTCCCAGTGCGCCTGCTCCGAAAGCACGCCAGCGATCGCGGCGCCTCGTGCCCCCCCCCCAACTTCCGTAACGTCGTGTTTGTTTTAAATCCCTATTATTACGACCGATTACGCCCGACGCGATCTACGAGACCTTACTAATGGTCGTGTTTTCAAAACACAATCCCGGCTTCAACTCAAATTGCGCGTTCAGGAAAGGCGGGTGGTCAGATGAAGCCCTGCGGAGAGGAGAGAGCTTAGTGACTAAGGTAATGTATGGTGACTGCAGGAGTTGCGTCAAATGTTTTGGAAAGAGTCTTGCGCACACCACGTGACGCACACCGGTTCAGTAATGAGGTTTGTGTCGAGACTTCCCGACTTCTTTTGTTTCTTGTGGAGTTAGAGGCTACGCTCTTTGGCGTAAATCGGCATTTCGTCGGGACGACTTCATGGAACCGGACTGACGAAACCTAACAGTAAAATATGCGCTAAAGACAGGTCCGTGTGTGAAAAATATGCAGTGTTGCGATTGCCTCATGAGCCACACAAAGAACTGGAAATGTTTGCATATGGAATCCTCGTGTTCATTCTTTATTTGTTTTATTATTATAATTTGCTCATGAGTGGCCGACTACCAATAGACTCACTGAACCCTAGTTTTCCCATCTGAATTCTGCTCTTCCTCTCTTCACGACACATTAGTATTAGCGAAGATCATGCACAGCTTTGGCAACAAATTTATTCTGTTGAAGTTTATTCGATCGTTTCATCATTATCATTAATCATTCAGTACATACTAATTAAATCACTACTCATAGTCGAGTTCATTTAGTGTCAGGTTTAGAGTACGACTTCTTGCATGCACAATTCATGACGGTAAATTTTCTAATGTTTGCAGAAGAACAAAGAATTTTATGATAGAGGAACATGTGGTAGAGAGACAAGAGTAGCCACTGACTAAATACTGTCACGTTTTCGAATTATAATACTAAGTTTGGGCTTGCGGCATATTCCATTTACAATGAAGATAAGGCGTTCATTCTCTACGATTGATTTCTAGAAACGAAAAAAAGAGGTAAAGAAATATCAGTGAGCTATATGCACTATTTATTTAACTACCATTTGAAAACATTATATAATTTTTGTAGTGTAGCGTTTCTTTCAAACAGTCCTTAGCAACCATTCGAAATTCACTGACCACCAAATTCTAAGTTTTAAATCACGGGCACCTCTAATGTGAACTTTAAAAAAATATAAATGCATTTGAAAAATAATGATCACACAACGTTAATTTTATTAAAACAAAATGCATCTATCTTCAATCTAAAAAGAAGTTAAACACGTGTTTAATTATAACATCGTAATTGATTATTTAATTATTGTTACAAAGTCTGTAAATATTACTTATAACAAAATTATTAATGTTTTTTTAAATATTACAAAATAATTCAACCTGATTTATGTATTACACATTCAAGTATGATTAGTGTTCCTGCTTGTTTGGTATAACGTTATATTTCTAATATCTTCCCGTTAGAATGTTTTACCAGATACCGATTGAAATTGATTAGTTAATTAATTGTCAAAAACCTCCATCTGCCTTGAAACTCTTCACCCCATCTTCGGATGAGTGTTTAGCTATCGAAACCGGAAAGAATGAATGCGACTGAGAATAACCGACAGCAACGCCATCTACAAACATGAAAAAAGCGAAGGTGTTAACGCTCTAGCGATCACCCTCGGCGGCATCGCCGTCCCTTTCGCCCTTGCTGCGGCCCGCGGTGGGGGCGACAGCGGGCGATGCCGGGCGATAAGGCGGGTGCGGCGGTCGTCGCCCAAGAGGCGGCGGCAGGTGCGTGGCCGGGGGCGAGCGCGCCTCGCGGGGTTCAGGCAGCGCCCAGGCGAACACAAGAAAGTCATTAATAACCGCAATTATTAACCGCAAAACTTTGTTTTCCGCCCAGAAACAGCAAGGTACGATCCAGTTTGCTAGGCATCTGACTTCCTCGAACGTTTCGTGTATATTTTTTTGTAAATAATTTGTATAACTCATATATATGTATTCCTCTAATTTTTCAGATTGCTCTGATGATGATAGCTACGCTATTGAAAAGATCTTAAGTGAAAATATCCTTCTGATAGTAGACAACACCTTTTATTTACTTAACAAAAAAGACAATTTACAGTGAAGTTAAGTGCAGTGAGCGTCATAGGCCTGCGCACGGGGGGGGGGGG